TGTACACACAGACACACACACACACACACACACACACACACACACACACACACACACACAGACACACACACACACACACACACACACACACACACAGACACACACACACACACACACACACACAGACACACACAGACACACACACACAGACACACACAGACACACACATATACACAGACACACAGACACACACACACAGACACACACACACACTCACACACAGACACACACACAGACACACACACACAGACACACACACACACAGACACACACGCAGACACACACACACACAGACACACACACACACAGACACACACAGACACAAACACAGACACACACGCAGACACACACACACACAGACACACACACACACACAGACACACACGCAGACACACACACAGACACACACACACACACAGACACACACGCAGACACACACACAGACACACACACACACACAGACACACACGCAGACACACACACAGACACACACACAGACACACACGCAGACACACACACACACACAGACACACACACACACAGACACACACAGACACACACACAGACACACACGCAGACACACACACACACAGACACACACACACACACAGACACACACACACACACACACACACACACACACACACAGACACACACACACATATAATCAGTAAAGTGTTTAATTCCGATGTAATATTTTTAATTCCAAGAATAACTGAGTGGTGATGTGGTGTCAGTACTGCAGAAACACACTCAGGGCCTGCGGGACATTCTATTCATTACACAGGGCACTGGTTACCACGGCAACTGTCCACTCTGACCCGCCAAACCGGTCAGACCGGTCCAGTCTCCGTCTTCACGGCAACCAGGCCCAAAGAGAAACAGTGTGACTTTCATTACGTACACAGTCACAGAGGCGGGGTCAGCTGATGACATCATCACATGGACACGGAGAGCCTCAAACGAACGTCCTTAAATTAAATAATCTAATTAAACTCTCTTTCTTATTTAGGCTAATCAGGTTATTCACCATGTAGCCTGGCATTATAGATTATTACACATCTTACACAAGAACACACTGAGGCTGATTCACTAAGACTGATTCACTGAGACTGATTCACTGAGACTGATTCACTGAGGCTAATACACTGAGGCTGATTCGCTGAGGCTGATTCGCTGAGACTGATTCGCTGAGACTGATTCACTGAGGCTGATTCACTGAGGCTAATACGCTGAGGCTGATTCGCTGAGGCTGATTCACTGAGACTGATTCACTGAGGCTGATTCGCTGAGGCTGATTCACTGAGGCTGATTCACATTCAGGAGGTCTTTAGTGAACATGAACTGGAAGTGATGGAAGAACCGTACTGTGGTGAGTAGAAACCCTTCACTCTGAGGTCAGAGAACAGAAATATGTGATAATAATAATAATAATAATAATAATAATGCTAACTAGCTAACCTTCAAATGTAACACTTATCAGATCTTTAATTAAAGTAATTCTGTTAGCTGGTTAATTAAATTAGCTTTTAGCTACCCAGCCTTTATCACACTGCTGGCTCCGTTTTATGTTAGCAAACTGACCATAAATGTTCAGTCAGTGGTTTATTTTAAAGAGGTTCACGTTAAATCCGTTCTACTGTAATTGTATCTAGTCCTTCAGAGGAACGAGAGGCTGCAGTGAGGTTAAGAAAACATCGCAGACCGATTTCTCTCTTACGTTCATTCTTACAACTCTTACTGAAAGAAACAGACAGAAACGTTGTCCAGATGTTTAAACGGTCAACCTTTACATTACGTTTGGGTTTGCAGATCTCCAGGCGTGTAAAGTGGAGATGTGAGTTACTATCAGGGCCGAGTGGGGAACATCGTTCACTGTTCCACAGTCGTCCATCAACGGTGAGGAGGAATCAGCGTCGCTCCCACGGGGTCACACTGAGGTCACGCCCACCACCCCGACTCATTCAGACCACCACCAGCTTTCAGTGACCTTTGACCCAGGAACACTCAGAACTCTCCCTCATCCCGTCCACTCTGAGCTGACCAGCTTAAAACCTTAACCTGAAGAGGAGAAACTACAGCTTTAACACTTCAGTTCATCAGCAAACACGTTTAAACCTCACGTCCCCTCAGTGATCAACAATGATTAATGGGTCATTAACATATCATTAGCATATCACAGATATTTGTTTATAACCCAGTGTTTAAAGAGTTTATAACCCAGTGTTTAAAGAGTTTATAACCCAGTGTTTAAAGTTTATAATCCAGTGTTTAAAGAGTTTATAACCCAGTGTTTAAAGAGTTTATAATCCAGTGTTTAAAGAGTTTATAATCCAGTGTTTAAAGAGTTTATAATCCAGTGTTTAAAGTTTATAATCCAGTGTTTAAAGAGTTTATAACCCAGTGTTTAAAGAGTTTATAATCCAGTGTTTAAAGAGTTTATAACCCAGTGTTTAAAGAGTTTATAATCCAGTGTTTAAAGAGTTTATAACCCAGTGTTTAAAGAGTTTATAATCCAGTGTTTAAAGAGTTTATAACCCAGTGTTTAAAGAGTTTATAATCCAGTGTTTAAAGAGTTTAAATCCAGGTTTAAAGAGTTTATAACCCAGTGTTTAAAGAGTTTATAATCCAGTGTTTAAAGAGTTTATAATCCAGTGTTTAAAGAGTTTATAACCCAGTGTTTAAAGAGTTTATAATCCAGTGTTTAAAGAGTTTATAATCCAGTGTTACAGTTCAAGCCAAGTCTGCCATTTAACTGTAGATGTTAGTTTTAATGATAAATTCATTATTATAATGATTGATTGTTGCTGGCACTGCAGTCGTGGTGTGACCTTTAACCTTAGCTTGGCCCCTCCCTTTGTAGGCAAGCCCAGAGAGAATCAGCCAATCACTGCTTAATTCAGCACACACACACACACACACTATACTGTAGAAATCTGATGGTCCAAATACAGACTTCACTATGTGGTGTCTGACTGTATGATCCATAAACAAGGACTATGGATATTTATTCATATTATAAATACATGTAAAAAGCAGAAACACATTTAACAGAAAATTACTCAGCAGCTGATCTCTAACTCTACTCTCAGCTGTGTGAGTCAGTGAGTCAGTGAGTCGCTCTCTCCCTTTATTCCAGCTTCCATTCTTTCCAGGAGACTCACTTTCAGTTCCTCAAAGAATCTGCAGACACACCTCCAAAGTTCAGTCTTAGAAGCTGGTTGATCATTTTCTGAAGTAATCAAACACATTCAGTGGTGTTGAGGTCTGAACTCTGGGGTGGTCAGTCCATCGCTCAGCTTCTTTGTTTGATGTGTCCGTCTCCTTTTCTCAGTGAGGTTCTTCTTGATCAGCTACACATCCTTTCAGACCCACAGCGCTGAGTCGTCTTCTCACAGTGGAAGGATGGACAGAAACACCTGTGGATGTTTTCAGATCTGATCAGCTTGATTTTCTCCTCTCTCTCAGAGATGAAAGCTTTAAGTGCTGTTTATCTGATGGGGGCAGTTTTGGGGTCGACAAGCTCTTCCAGGTGGTTGTTAGGAGGCACATTTTCTCTGTAGCTTTTAATCAGTTGAAATCAGTTGTATTTTCCTTTGATGTTCTTCTTTATTATGCGAGTGGATTATCTGATATCTAATCTCCTCAGAATGATCTCCTGAAAAATGAATAACTTATACTTAATGGCTGCAAATTAATCCAATTTAATGGTCAGAACTGTATATTTTGGCATAACTTCATTTTAACCAAATTACACATACTGAGAGGTTATTAAATGTTCTTTGTTCAGTAAACCTGATATTGACTCTTATTAAGTGTTTGTTTTCTGTTATTTTCGCTTTATTCATTTCAGTATTATTTTACAGTCTGTTATGTGGAAATTACTAATAATTGCATTATTACTTCTAATAAAATGCACAAAAAACACTGTTTATATTTTACTATGCACGTTATTGAGCACAGATCACCTAAATTCACACTGTATTAGTGTAAATTTGGCAGGATTTGATTCACAGGTTCTAGATAGAATTAAATGTTTTGCTTTATTAGAGTTTTTAATTAGAGTATTTATTACTGAAGTGCTAATAATTCACGACGCGTCACTGTAAAGAGCAGTTTTGGTCATTAAACTGATGTATATTAACGCACAGTAAACACATTGTTTAGACTAAACAAAAATCAACCACACTCACACTGTATTAGCGTGAAACTGTACTGGAAAATTCTGTACGTTCTAGCTATGAGTTTATTACTGAACAACTATTACGTCAATTCAACTCAAGATGTGTTCTAGATAGTAAAGTGCAGTTTCAGTCATTAGACTCTCACAATACTGACAAATTACTGATGTATTTAGTGTTTTTGGTAATCAAAATATGAATATGTGCTGAATCTGTGAGGATTTCGAAGTATTAGTGACTTATTAAACATTTATTAGATCTAATGTAATAAACTACCGACACTATCTAGAACCTACAGGGATAAAATACAGTCAACTGTACAGTAATAGGATTTGCCAGGTCATAGCAGTGTTTATTGTGCATTATTACAACTGTTAATGCAATTATTAGGGATTTTCACATAACAGGCCTCCGGTTATGTATTAATACAGGTCATAATTAATAAATAATAATGCAGAGTGAATCAACCAGCAGAGTCTAATTCAGGCCTAACATGTTCCTTAAAATAAAGAGTTGTCTATATTATTATATATGTTATATATGTTTACAGTTTTCTGCACAGTTGCTGCTTATTTTATTCATAAATTAATAAACTGAATATATTTTGTGCTCTTTGTTGTCAGTTTAAATGAACTTAATAAAATGTAATGAATTAAATTAAGTGTGCACACTTTTAACTGTGCATTGTGTGTGCTGGGAGGTTATCCTGTGGTGGGCGGAGCTGAGTGATCTCACCTGCAGTGGGAGTGTTTTGGGGGCGGAGCTGTTTTCACCTGCTCTACACACTCTGACTCGTTCACTCACACAGTGCGGATCACACACAGACACAGACGCACACTCTCTCAGTCGGACAGCAGAGATGAGGCTGTAACACACACACACACACACACACACACACACACACACACACACACACACACACACACTGCGCCTGATCCTGTGACTCTGCAGCACCATGAAGAGGAGCTCTCTGAACTTTCTCAAACAGAAGAGTCCAAACCTGTTCGACACCAACGTCCAGATCAAACACTACGGTAAGACACTCTCACCCTTTAATGTCCAGATCTGTTTAACCGTCTTTCGGTCTGAACGTTCTCTGAGCTCTGAGCTCAAACCTGGAGAACGTTCTCAAATCCAGAGTCTGTTAGTCACTGATTTTTTAACGAAACAATAGAAACGAGATTTGATTGTGAATAACAGTGTGAAAATTATGTGTAATCAAAAAGATTAAACTGAGCCCTGATAGACAAACGTCTAAGATATAACTAAACAAAATCTCAGCACTTTAAACCAACCAGAACAAGTTCAGTGTCATGTTTTCTCACCACACTCAGTTTCGCTGCTGAACAGGATCAGATTAATGAGAGTCAGAGTGTCGGACTTTCATGGTCTGCGGTTTTTAGCGTTCGGCCTCTGTTTCTGAGCTGCAGAGCGCTGATGAACGACTCGTGCAGTGTGAGTGAGTGTGAGTGACCTTTGCACTGTGTTCTGAGTGTTCAGTGGCCGGAGCTCAGCGGGGTGTGTAACACTGATATGAAACTGTGACATATGAAACACACTTTAAAGCTCCAGGTGATCTAAATCCATATTTCCTCATAATTAGGTTCATCTTGCTCACAACTTACAGATACGAAGTGTGTCCTGAGAATAACGTTCCAGTGTTTAATAAACTGGCATGTATTTCACCAAAGTTCTCACCAACACAGCTTTAGGCAGGTATGTTCCCCCCGCTTCACTGTTTGACTGGGAGACATTAACTGAGACAAAGCTGACCACAGACAGAAAGCTGACCACAGACAGAAAGCTGACTACAGATAGAAAGCTGACCACAGACAGAAAGCTGACCACAGACAGAAAGCTGACTACAGACAGAAAGCTGACCACAGACAGAAAGCTGACCACAGACAGAAAGCTGACTACAGACAGAGAGCTAACCACAGACAGAAAGCTGACCACAGACAGAAAGCTGACTACAGACAGAGAGCTAACCACAGACAGAAAGCTGACCACAGACAGAAAGCTGACTACAGACAGAGAGCTAACCACAGACAGAAAGCTGACTACAGACAGAAAGCTGACAACAGACAGAAAGCTGACCACAGACAGAAAGCTGACCACAGACAGAAAGCTAACCACAGACAGAAAGCTGACTACAGACAGAAAGCTGACCACAGACAGAAAGCTGACTACAGACAGTATTTGTGTCTTGGGCTCGTCTTCGTCCCCGTAGTGTCCTGGGTGATTCTACAGGGGTGTAACTCGCTTTTAAATCCCTCAAACAACTTGAAAAGATGAGGAAATGTAGACTGGAAGCAGTTAAAGGTCTCGACTCGGTCTTGACTGGTCAGAGTCTGGACTGCAGTCCTGCTCGTAGTCTGTTAGAGAGAGATGTCTTCACTGATCTGTTTCTGGTTGTTTATCCGTGTCTGTACTGAAGTGAAGCCTGAATGATTGAGGGCCGAAAGTTCTGGAAAGTTTGGAAACCTGAAAATCTTCTCAAACAGAGTTTCAGATGCCAGAATGCGAAAATAGTATCTTGTCATGTGAAATGATCTTGAATCTGGTCTGTATTTCTAATGTTTCACATTCTGAGATGGTTGTTTTTATTTAGTATAATTATCTCACTACACTGGCAGATAATTTAGCTTTTTTCAAGCTTGTTTCTTAAAACAAGCACAATTATCTGCCAATATAGTGGGATAATTATACTTGATCTGAAATGATCTAAAACAAGTAAAAATGTCCAGAAATGAGGTAAATAATCTTAAATGAAGTTTACAACGATCTCAACAGGAGGAATATTAGATTCACTGAGTATTTTTAAGATAATTTTTCTTGACCAGATGCCATTTTTTAAGTTGTTGTGTAAACACACGGTCTGATTTCTGAGATCAGAATAAGGTCTATAAATCTGATTAGTAAATCTGATAAAGAGGCTGACTGGAAGATTGTTCCAAAGCTGGGGGGCTTTGTATGAGAAGCTCCGCCCCCTGATGTAACTGTATTAATTCTGGGTACTAATAGTGAGCAGCACCTTGTGATCTAAGTAGGCGTGATGGTTCATAGTGGGAGGGAAGTTCACTCAGGTACTGAGAGGCGAGTCCGTTTAGGGCTTTATAGGTCAGTAAGAGACCTATCAGGATCTATAATGACACCAAGATTTTTTTACAGATGAATCTGACACAACTGAGAAGCTATTAAGTGTTAAATCAGACAGTTTGTTTCTTGCAGCTTTTGGACCAAGAAGTAGAACCTCTGTTTTATCTGAGTTAAGGAGGAGAAAGTTACTCCACATCCAGTCTTTTGTCTTTTATACAGTCTTTAATCTTATTAAGTTGAAGTTGATCATCTGGTTTGGCTGATTTATATAACTGTGTGTCATAAATGTAGAAGTGGAAACTGATGCTGTGTTTACTGATAATGGTGCCCAGTGGGAGCATATATATTGTGAATAATAGAGGTCCTAAAACAGAGCCTTGTGGAACACCATACTTTACTTTTGTAAGAACAAAACCACTGACAGAATCTGATATTCTGCAGTTATTGGATTATTAGGTGCATGTAAACACACTCAGTGATGGGATTAAATCAGAGTGAGACTTCAGTGTAAACACTCTGAGAGACAGACTTATAAATATATAAAGACTTATAAAGACTTATAAATAAATAATCAGATTTCAGGGGAATTTAGAGTTCTGTCTGCAATCACACACTTTATTTGCACTGTCTGTCTGTGTGTGTGTGTGTGTGTGTGTGTGTGTGTGTGTGTGTGTGTGTGTATTTGCGCGTGTGTGTGTGTGTGTGTGTGTGTGTGTGTGTGTGTGTGTGTGTGTATTTGCGCGTGTGTGTGTGTGTGTGTGTGTGTGTGTGTGTGTCTGTGTGTGTGTGTGTGTGTATTTGCGTGTGTGTGTGTGTATGTGTGTGTGTGTGTGTGTGTGTATGTGTGTGTGTGTGTGTGTATTTGCGTGTGTGTGTGTGTGTGTGTGTATTTGCGTGTGTGTGTGTGTGTGTGTGTGTGTGTGTGTGTATTTGCGTGTGTGTGTGTGTCTGTGTGTGTGTGTGTGTATGTGTGTGTGTGTGTGTGTATTTGTGTGTGTGTGTGTGTGTGTATGTGTGTGTGTATTTGCGTGTGTGTGTGTGTGTGTGTGTGTGTGTGTGTGTGTGTGTATTTGCGTGTGTGTGTGTGTGTGTATGTGTGTGTGTATTTGCGTGTATGTGTGTGTGTGTGTGTGTGTGTGTGTGTGTATGTGTGTGTGTATTTGCGTGTGTGTGTGTGTGTGTGTGTATGTGTGTGTGTGTGTGTGTATTTGTGTGTGTGTGTGTGTGTGTATGTGTGTGTGTGTGTGTGTGTGTGTGTATTTGCGTGTGTGTGTGTGTGTGTGTGTGTGTGTGTGTGTGTGTGTGTGTATTTGCGTGTGTGTGTGTGTGTGTGTGTGTATTTGTGTGTGTGTGTGTGTGTGTGTATGTGTGTATTTGCGTGTGTGTGTGTGTGTGTGTGTGTGTGTGTGTGTGTGTGTATTTGCGTGTGTGTGTGTGTGTGTGTGTGTGTGTGTGTGTGTGTGTGTATTTGCGTGTGTGTGTGTGTGTGTGTGTGTGTGTGTGTATTTGTGTGTGTGTGTGTGTGTGTATTTGCGTGTGTGTGTGTGTGTGTGTGTGTGTGTGTGTGTGTGTGTGTGTGTATTTGCGTGTGTGTGTGTGTGTGTGTGTGTATTTGCGTGTGTGTGTGTGTGTGTGTGTGTGTATTTGCGTGTGTGTGTGTGTGTGTGTGTGTGTGTGTGTGTGTGTATTTGCGTGTGTGTGTGTGTGTGTGTGTATTTGCGTGTGTGTGTGTGTGTGTGTGTGTGTGTTTGTGTGTGTATTTGCGTGTGTGTGTGTGTGTGTGTGTGTGTGTGTGTGTGTGTATTTGCGTGTGTGTGTGTGTGTGTGTATTTGCGTGTGTTTCCTGTAATGCAAATGAACTGAATCACAGCAGATCAGGATCTCTCAGTTCACCTCTGCTCAACCTCACAGCACCATTAAAGCACCAGTCTGTTAGACGTTATTTAACAGCTCCACACAGTCCGAAGTTTGTGATGATGTCACAACAGATGGTTCTTCAAGCGTTCTTTAGTGAAGACAATGGTTCTATACAGAAACACTTAGAGAACCATTTGCATGATTAAGCGGTATTTTGCATTATGAAAAGGTTCTCCAGATTGATGGAGAATGTGCTATAGATGGTGCTGTATAGCACCAAAAAGGGTTCTTCTACTCTTAAAGGCTTAAAATCGTCACAACAGCAGAACCCTTGGTGCTTTAAAGATCCCTTTTCATAAAGCTTCTATACAGAACCATATACAGCACATTCTCCATCAATCTGACGAACACTTTTATCATGCAAATGGTTCTTTATAGCACTATTTTCTGTACTAAAGAACCCTTTAAGAACCATTTTTAAGATTATAGGGATGGGTACTGTCAGGACTTCATCAGTACCGATATCAATAGAGATACTGCTTATTGATACTCCTATTGGTCCTCGTTCTCCAGTATCCTCCTAAGTGTGTTCTTAAGTGTGTTCTTGAGAAAGATCCTAAGAAAAGGTCTCCGTCAGATTCATGACGTGTTCTTGAAGACAGAACCGTTCTCCCCTTTGTGCTCTTCAGTGTGTGTAGATTCTGTTCTTACCTAAGAACAAACCCCACATAAGAGAACATCGGTGAGTCAGAATCTTCGTCAAAACTGCGTAAGTGGGTTTAAGAAGAGATTTGTTCTGAAGACCAGCTGGAGAACGAGGCCCATTGATATTACTGTCCATAAATTGGTAATAAAAAACAAAGAGATGTCATGAACAGATGTGAAAAGGCTGATGTCGCCGCCCTACAGCTGAAAATATTAACAACCATAATCAATACAAAATTAGTCGCCCTGGTTATCAGGTCAGCTCACACTTAAGCTACCTAGCAGTTAGCAATTAATACTGTACGAGCTAGAGAATTAAATTCAGTATTGACTCAATATTAATATCATGAGTTAACATTAAAATCGCAGCGACGTTTCAGCCCAGATGGCCTTCATGAGTCGAGAGATACGCTGACTGACAGTGTATCATCTGGAAGTATCATCTGAGCACAGTGACGTGTTACACTGCACAAAGATACACAAAGAGAAACAATCAATATATCTAATATTTCTCATTATTAATCTGTTGTAAGAATATTCTAAGATTATTTAACCTGTTTCTTGACATTTTTACCTGTTTTCAGGACTTTTTTCTAGTAAGAGTGTCTCATTCCATCAACAGATAATTGTATCTGTTTGTAATGTTATTTTTTTTAATTATAAGTAATAATCTGCCGACGGAGTCAGTAAGAATCTCCACTAATTAAAATGACTAATAAAAATGTTGAGGAAGAAGTTATAACAAGTTATAATATTCTTACAAACATCTTACAACAAGAAATATTACATATATCGACTATCATTTTTGCAGTGTATTGTTGGTTGGAGATTAAGGGGTTCTTGGAGCGACACCACAGAAGAACCAGTTTTGGTTCCCTAAAGAACCCTTCAGTGGTACGTCATCCATGTTAGTCTGAAATGGGCTTAGCTATTTAAATCAGCTGATTCCTCAGTTATTTACAGAGTTATTGATCAAGCCCAACAGACTCCAGACCTGCTGCAGAATCCTGAATGTTCTACTGGTTCTAGCTAGAAACCAGTAGCATGCTGTACAATTACCACATGTGGTGCATGTGGGCTTAAAGATGATGTGAAGAGTTTTGAAGAGTTCCGTTGAGAATGTTACACCTATATGTATAAATATATATAAAGTATTCATGAATTGAACAAATGTGAATCTTTCTAATCGCACAGACAAATTCCATTTCAGCCAATCAGAGAGTCTCTCAGCATCCAAACTAAAGGTCGGAATGTGGGAATGCTCAGACGGGAGCAGATAAGCGCTTCTATTCAATACATTTTTTGTTTTGCTGAAAGTTTTAAATTCTGCTCAGATTAATAAGTTAGTTCGGGTGTTTTTGTCAGAACTGACGCAGAACCTGTTCTCTGTGAGCTCTTTATCAGAGAACATTACAACTGGGTCATAAAGACCAGTTAACTCTCTCATAAACATGTTTACGTTTATGTTTCATGTTTAACCCAGTTTAACTCCTCTGAAAGCTAATCTGACACCAGGTAAGAGCACCTGAGCGGAGCTCACCTGGACGGAATGTCATAAGCTTTGCTTTTAGGCAGCGAGGAACCCTCAGAGCCTCCTCGGCGTTCAGAGAAGCCTAATGATTTCTGGGAAACTCAAACATCTGTGATTTGTAGGTCATTTTCAGTGAACGGAATCATCGCAGTGCCGCTCTCACTGTTCAGTTTCGGTTGGAAACAAAAGGGATAAATTCCTGAAACGCCAAACTGAAAATGATCCAATCAGGACTGTTTTCTCTGAGGTATATGTAGATATGACCTAGAACATACTACTAGAACACCATAGGGGCGCTAGCAGATATTAGCTTTATCGTAAAGGTGTTTTTGATCAAATTGTGACATTTATGTCCCAAACTGAAGGCCTAGCTTTGGTAGGCACCCACGTGTTCAGCACAGCACACCAGGGTTCACTTGAATCCAGACACACCTGCCAGGTCTGAACTCACTCCTACTGTTCTACTCGCACTGTTCTGTGTTTAGTTTCAGCTCCACTGAGCTGAAGTTGACAGTCAGAAAGTTATTTCTCCATCAAAAACTCATTTTATATCCCACTAACGCCGAACAGAGGAGGCGTCTATAACAGCTGCTCTGTATGGATTCTGTTTGCTTACAGCTGCTGTGTGTGTTTTTCAGACAATGTGGAGTTTAAGCTGGACTCAGCGGCCATCCCGGAGTCCGGCACGGCCAAAGTCCGATCCAGACCCACCGTCAAACACTTCAGCACAGTAAGTCAATCAACTTCAGCACCGTCAGAAACCGGATTCTCTGTTCACACTTACTGCATTTCAGATTTCTGCCTTTTACTCTCACTAATCTAACTTACTGAGGAGTTTTCAGAGCTGATCCTCCTGTTTACACTGCCAGTCCTGCAGACCACCCCCCCCCCAGTCCTGCAGACCACCCCCCAGCGTCTCAGTACAGCACTCGGGTGTGTTTAAGGCTGGAACTAAATCCTGCAGCGTGGAGCCGGTTTAGAGGAAGGCTGTTCCAGTTATTTGGCTTATCAATTCCAACAGATCCCGATGCTAAAATTCCTCAATCCCAGCAATACTTTATCCTAATGGTTCTCAATCTTAGAAGTACTGTAGTCCTAATCCCAACAGCTCCAATTTCAGCAGTCTCCAATCCTAGTTGTTCATAATCCCAATATTTCCCAGTCCTAATGGTTCGCAATCACAACAGTTCTCTTTCCTATTGTCTCCCACTCCCAACAGATTCCAATTCTAACAGTTCCCAATCCTAATGATTTTCAGTCCATGCAGTTCCCAATCCTACAGGCTCCCAATCCCAGCAGGCCCATTTCCAGCAGTTCCTAGTCCAAATGCTTCCCAATCCTAATGTTTCCCAGTCCTAATGGTTCTCATTCCTAGTGGCTCCCAATCCCAGTTTCCAGTCTTAATGGCTCCCAATCTCAGCACTTTCTAGTCCTAATCGTTCCCAGGCCAAGCTGTTTCCAGTGTTAACACCTGTCAATCCCAACAATTCCCATTCCTAATGGATCCCAATTCCAGCATTCCTGGATTGTAGCATCTGCATTTGGCTTATCAATTCCAACAGATCCTGATGCTAAAATTCCTCAATCCCAGCAATACTTTATCCTAATGGTTCTCAATCTTAGAAGTACTGTAGTCCTAATCCCAACAGCTCCAATTTCAGCAGTTTCCAATCCTATTCCAATTCCTATTCCTAATGGATCCCAATTCCAGCATTCCTGGATTGTAGCATCTGCACAGTCCAGAATTCAGCTTCTTGCAGGGATGGAACTGTATGATGGCGGGTAAAGAGTCAGTTGCAGCTCTAGCGTTGAGTTCTGCTGTCACGTGTAGGTTTTGAGAGGAAGTCGATGGAGGAATAAACATGTGATGCAAACGGAGATAAATCGAGCACTAATAAGGTAACGTGCGTTTATAAGCAGCGGCTACAGTTTTTCACCGAGCCGTGACGGAGAGGAATGAGGACAAACTCGACTGAAGAGCACGTTCACCAGCACACAGTGTTCTACCATATTGAGAAATTACACATTCATAACGATAATCAGCTCATTAAAACGCTTCCACGTTAATGTGTTGCATGTTACAAAACTTTCAGTGTTTTTTCTTCCTCAAAAAAAATTAAACTCTGCACAATCACAGCCTCCGTCTGAACATCAGGCCGGTCGTGGTGTGAGTGAGACTCAGAGTGAATCTGAGTTTGAGTGTTCAGGAGTGGCGGCCTCGCCGTGATGAGCAGGGCGCAGTAACATTCCTCACATTTTACTCTGACGAATCACAGCCTGAGAAATATGCACCTGCCTGAAGTCTGGATATATACACACATCACCATAACAAAGCATCATCTAATCATCTAATCACCTCAGACTGATCCAAAAGTTAGTTTTTTTTTAAGTGAAATTTCGTCAGTTTTTTGTTCAAATGTGTCTGTTAATTATAAGATCTAAACTGGTCCTGAGATTTTGATCCAAATGCAAATTTATTCAGATGTTCTCTGCACCCATCGATCCCGACTGTAAAATGTGATACTATCAATCATAACGTTTTTTAGACAGACTGGAAAACTGGGTAGGACTTTCTGGAACAGTTTAGCTGGTTCTAAACATATTTTGAAGATGGAAGCTACTTTACTGCCATCAACAACCACAAATCTAAACAAAAAACTGTGGTGTTCCACAAGGATCCGTCCTTGGGCCCTTACTATTCAATCTTCATATGCTACCACTGTATATCTTACCATAGCAACGCAGATGATACTCAGATCTACTCAGCTCTCTTGCCTGAGGACCACAGTTCCATTTACCCTTTATGTCACTGCCTAGAGGCAATAAATAAAATAATAATAATAATAATAATAATAATAATAATTTTGATTTATATAGCACTTTTCATACCGATGGCAGCTCAAAGCGCTTTACAGACGGGTGATAAATTTAAACAGTAACACAAGAAATTATAAGTATTAATATAAAATCATGAGTCAATAACATATATCAGATTAAAGAGATGAAGACCAAAGAGTCGTAGAGTTTTACTGAAGCTCTGAGTTAAAGAGTCGTAGAGTTTAATGAAGCTCTGAGTTAAAGAGTCGTAGAGTTTTACTGAAGCTCTGAGTTAAAGAGTCGTAGAGTTTAACTGAAGCTCCGAGTTAAAGAGTCGTAGAGTTTTACTGAAGCTCTGAGTTAAAGAGTCGTAGAGTTTTACTGAAGCTCCGAGTTAAAGAGTCGTAGAGTTTTACTGAAGCTCCGAGTTAAAGAGTCGTAGAGTTTTACTGAAGCTCCGAGTTAAAGAGTCGTAGAGTTTAATGAAGCTCCGAGTTAAAGAGTCGTAGAGTTTAATGAAGCTCCGAGTTAAAGAGCCGTAGAGTTTTACTGAAGCTCCGAGTTAAAGAGTCGTAGAGTTTTACTGAAGCTCCGAGTTAAAGAGTCGTAGAGTTTAATGAAGCTCCGAGTTAAAGAGTCGTAGAGTTTAATGAAGCTCTGAGTTAAAGAGTCGTAGAGTTTTACTGAAGCTCTGAGTTAAAGAGTCGTAGAGTTTAATGAAGCTCTGAGTTAAAGAGTCGTAGAGTTTTACTGAAGCTCTGAGTTAAAGAGCGTAGTTTAATGAAGCTCTGAGTAAAGAGTCGTAGAGTTTAATGAAGCTCTGAGTTAAAGAGCCGTAGAGTTTTACTGAAGCTCTGAGTTAAAGAGTCGTAGAGTTTAATGAAGCTCTGAGTTAAAGAGTCGTAGAGTTTTACTGAAGCTCTGAGTTAAAGAGTCGTAGAGTTTTAATGAAGCTCCGAGTTAAAGAGTCGTAGAGTTTTACTGAAGCTCTGAGTTAAAGAGTCGTAGAGTTTAATGAAGCTCTGAGTTAAAGAGTCGTAGAGTTTTACTGAAGCTCTGAGTTAAAGAGTCGTAGAGTTTAATGAAGCTCTGAGTTAAAGAGTCGTAGAGTTTTACTGAAGCTCTGAGTTAAAGAGTCGTAGAGTTTAATGAAGCTCTGAGTTAAAGAGTCGTAGAGTTTTACTGAGCTCTGAGTTAAAGCGTAGAGTTTTACTGAAGCTCTGAGTTAAAGAGTCGTAGAGTTTAATGAAGCTCTGAGTTAAAGAGTCGTAGAGTTTACTGAAGCTCTGAGTTAAAGAGTCGTAGAGTTTAATGAAGCTCTGAGTTAAAGAGTCGTAGAGTTTTACTGAAGCTCTGAGTTAAAGAGCCGTAGAGTTTTACTGAAGCTCTGAGTTAAAGAGTCGTAGAGTTTAATGAAGCTCTGAGTTAAAGAGTCGTAGAGTTTACTGAAGCTCTGAGTTAAAGAGTCGTAGAGTTTTACTGAAGCTCTGAGTTAAAGAGTCGTAGAGTTTTACTGAAGCTCTGAGTTAAAGAGTCGTAGAGTTTAATGAAGCTCCGAGTTAAAGAGTCGTAGAGTTTAATGAAGCTCTGAGTTAAAGAGCCGTAGAGTTTAATGAAGCTCTGAGTTAAAGAGTCGTAGAGTTTAATGAAGCTCTGAGTTAAAGAGCCGTAGAGTTTAATGAAGCTCTGAGTTAAAGAGTCGTAGAGTTTAATGAAGCTCTGAGTTAAAGAGCCGTAGAGTTTAATGAAGCTCTGAGTTAAAGAGTCGTAGAGTTTTACTGAAGCTCTGAGTTAAAGAGTCGTAGAGTTTAATGAAGCTCTGAGTTAAAGAGTCGTAGAGTTTAATGAAGCTCTGAGTTAAAGAGCCGTAGAGTTTTACTGAAGCTCTGAGTTAAAGAGTCGTAGAGTTTTACTGAAGCTCTGAGTTAAAGAGTCGTAGAGTTTACTGAAGCTCTGAGTTAAAGAGCGTAGAGTTTAATGAAGCTCTGAGTTAAAGAGCCGTAGAGTTTTACTGAAGCTCTGAGTTAAAGAGCTGCGTTTCCAGATGTTTATTAAAAGTGAGCTCTGAGCTCGACTGTCTAATAAAAGCTGAACTGAGCTCCACAGTTTAGAAGCAGAATAACTGAAAGAGTCTCTCCACGTTTTCTGTGTTTTACTGAAGGTGTTTGTAGGTCAGTATCTGCAGATCTTAGATGATAAACAGAGTCACTCTGTGATGCAATCGGTGCTTTAAGGTCATTTAGAGCTTTAAAAACCAGCAGCAGAGCTTTAAAATCTATCCTGAACGATCCAGGCAGTGCAGCTCTTTTAAAGCAGGACTGATCTGATCTCTCTGTGTTGTTTTTGTTTGGATGCTGCTGTGTTTTGTACGAGTTGCAAAGGATGGACTGTTTTCTTAGGAAGTTCAGTAAGAAGATCATTACAGTGATCAACTCTGCTGTAACAAATGCATGAAGTTTCTCTGCGTCGCTCTGAGAGAGAAAAGGCTGAACTTTAGTGATTTTCTCAGATGATAAAAAGCTGCTTTAGTGACTGTTTTTACATGCAGATTAAACAGAGCTCAGAGTCTCAGATCACACCCAGGTTTCTACTGCAGGTTTGGTATATGAAGCTAAAGAACCAAGTTTCTCATAAAGCATTTTTCTCTGAGTTTCAGTATCAACAATCAATATTTTAGTTTTTTTTTTGTGATTTAATTGTAGAAAAGTTTGCTGCGAAATATCTGACACACAGCTGGTTAGTCTGTCTACAGAGTCTTGATCTTCAGAAGAACAGAAATGTATAGCTGGGTGTCGTCAGCATAGCTATGAAAATTTATATTATGCTTCATAATAAGATCACCTAGAGGTAGCATGTACAAAGAGAAAAGCAAAGGCCCTAAGACTGAACCTTGAGGGACTCCACAAGAAATGGCAAATCGTTTTGATGAATGATTTCCAAGTGAAACCATGGACTGCCTATTACTTAAATATGATTTATACCATTCTAAAACTGTGCCCGAGAGGCTGACCCAGTATTCAAGATGCTGGATTAAAATCTTGTGGTCAACAGTATCAAAAGCTGCACTAAAATTTAATACCAGAATAGAAGGATTTTGTGCATCAGTGCTGAGCCTGAGGTCTCCAACCAAATAAAAAAGACAGAGGTAATTGTATTTGTAAGCAAGGAGCAAAGACTTGGTCAGTGCTCATCTTGACACCAACTAACAACTGGTTCATATCTGAATTTCGGCAGTCGTGTAAAAGCACTAATGAAAACAGCCTTTTAACATCTCAAAAACATATTGAAGTTTAAAAATTTCACATCACAAAAAGATTGAAAAACTAATTCATGCATTTATTTCCATCAGACTGGACGACTGCAGTGGGCTTTTTACTGGCCTGCCCAAAACCACAATCAGACAGATACAGCTTATTTAGAACGCAGCTGCTAGAACGCAACAAGAACCAAGAGATCCGAGCACATCACTCCAATCATCTGATCACTGCACTGGTGACCATTTAAGTACAGAATTGAACTTAAAGTGCTTCTAATTGTATATAAATCTCTGAATGGTCTTGGATTAAAAAAACAGGGCTGATCTGCTGGAGGTATACAAACCCAATAGGCCTTTCCAATCACTCAGAACCGCTGACAAAATCCTGTCTGAATCAGACTGTAGCCTAAACTAGATTAGACTTGACTAGAAGCACGATGAAAACTCAGTCTGTGGATGAATATGTGGTTATAGAAACACATTCTATTCTGCAGGAAGAACTGGATAAGCTTTTTACTACCAACTATCGACGATGTAGACTGTAGTCAGTACCCTGAAGTTCTGGTCTGCACACTATAAACACTGTAAAGGCTCCTCTATGTCTCCTGTCTACGACACGTCACATCCACCTCTCCATACACCTCTCTACTCCTTTTTCTCTCTCTCCTAGCTGTCCTACTGGCTGTTGCCTGAATCACTCGTTCATTTCCTCTGCTGACCATCTGAAACTACAGGACTCATGAATGTTTTCAGTTGTGAAACTCAAACATTAAAAAAATATCAGGGTGACTCCAGAGCTGAGCTGATCTGAGGTCTCATGACTTGTTTCCGGTCACACCACCAGATGAAACACACCAGCAGTCATTTCTGACTGTGACATGGAAACTTTGCTCCTGATGGTCAAAATTTGTTGGAAGGGGCAAACTGGAGTCAAATCAGGGTGAACAAGTGGTGCAGGAAGAATAATATTTCTCTGACTTTCCCTGCATTTAGTTTTTCTCTGCTAAAGCTGTGAGAAACCCAAACGAGGAATCTGAACCCGAGCCCGACAGATATTTGAGCAATGATGCCCGAACCTGACAGGAATACCTCGGATGTCTCCGGCAGTAGTGAGAGTGCACTTGAAGGAAGTGCGCGTTTGCGAAGGCTTTAGGCTGTGAGTGACGAGACTGAGGAGGATGTTTTGAATACAGCTGCTTTGTTTAGGTTTAGAGGTTGGGCTGAGGTGTGGATGTGGCTGCACCCTCACATACATACATACACCCAGGTGTGTCCTGATCATGACATGAACTCTCTGGGCAGGATAATGAAAATATGATCACTTCAGACAGAACTGTAAAGCTGGGGAAAAATCTAAGGCCGCAAACTATTATTTGTAAACCGTTACTGGCTTTTTCAATACTAATATCACAATAAGCTATAATATGTGAACAAGCACCAACCTCAGATGGGTATTTTGGCAAAAAAGGTGATTCATGCCATCTAATATTGGGAATTGACTGATTTACTGTAGATCAAATTATATCCAGCACATTGCAAGGCATACGACCCAATGCATCCAACACAGGCAGCAATATAATCGCAATATACTGATACCTTGCAGCTCCACTGAGATCTATGGAATATCTGCTGTTCCTTAAAATCCAACGGTTGCTAAGAAACATTTAAACAGTAACACTGTAACACTCAGGAAAGTTTAGGTATGATTCACAAACACAAAACCTCTGCGCTGCGTTTCTGTCTGTGAATCATAACTACACTGGGTGTGTTAGCTGGGAGTCGCCTGCTGCACTGAATCCTGATTCATCCACACATCTCATCAAAAAAGCCCTGATTAGGGTTGTGCAGCTGACCGACTTCAAGGGTGCAGTGAAAGGCTTAAGGAACCGGTTGGTTGAGTGCAGCTGGAGAGAACTTACTCTCCTATTAGTGAGGCGTGTCAGATTACTGCGTTCCATTCCAGACACACACAGAGCCTGAACAGTTTGGTGAAATAACAAAGTCCTCCAGTTTTCCCTCCAAACGCACTCGATCAGCCGAGACATGTCTGGTGTCTGAAGTTTGCTTCTTTAGTTTACACTGAGCTGCGAGGCTAATGTAGCTAACAGGTAATAGATTGCATAGGTGAAAACAGCCGCCACAGTCGGCTTGAAGACCGAAGTTTGTCCGTACTTTAGACCAGAGGTCACCAACCCTGGTGTGGAGATCTAAGTCTCTGGTTCCAAAGAGAATCTGCCACACCTGCTCCAGCTAATCAATCTCTAGATCTCGGAAGTGGGTTGGTGACCACTGCTTTAGTCCATGTTGATAGATAAAAGTATATCATACAGTGTCAGAAACAACATAAGCAACTCTAATACAGACTTTATATGATGCAGTGAGCACGATGCTAATAGGTGACACACTTTTCCGTAATGTTAGCTACATTATCTTTAACATTTATAGCATTTGGCAGAAACTCTTATCCAGAGCGACTCAGGACTTGCGCAGTCTGCCAGCTCTAATCCAATTTTTGGCATATGAATTCATTTTTGACAGTCTGGACAGCAAAAAAAACAAAAAAAAACACATAAAATCTGATTTTTGCAAATCAGATCCAAACCACATTTGGAGGTGGTCTGAAATGCCAGTCCAATCAGATTTTACAGATGCATCTCAGTCTGGAAGCTCAAACCGGATTTCAAAGTGTCTTCTGCATCACTCGCAACATGACAAACAACACCGATGTCAAAGCTCCAAAGATTCATGATTACACCAGAGCATTTCTACTCATACGCACTATGGAGGAGAACAGCAGTCTGTGGACTGAGAGAAAACTAAATTTTTTGGAGGGCGAGATGATGCACCTCCATCTCTCCTGCATCACCAGCGTAGCTATGTTACCACAACAACTCCTGAAGGCTGGTGATATCTGGACAAGCAAATCTAATCTGGTTTAATGACGTTACAGAATTAAGCGAATGTAGTGTTAGGAGTCTTACCCAAGGACTCTTATTGATGTACCGTAATGTGCCTCAATGGGCAGGAAATTCACCCCTGTTCTGCTGCAGTATGGAGCGCAGTGGTATCACCCACTACGCTGGGGGTGTCCAATCTTATCTGCAAAGGGCCGGCGTGGCTGCAGGTTTTCACTCCAAACAAGGTGAAGCACCTGATTCCACTAGTTTAATCAGTTCCTCTCAGGCTTCACACATTTGATCATGTGATCTCCTGCCTTATTGGAATGACACCCGGAGCAACACCGGCCCTTAGCGGATAAGATTGGACACCCCTGCACTACGCTATACTAACCACTAACATTAGCCTCGTAGCTCTGGTGCTAAAACTGAAGAAGCAAACTTCAGACACCAACATGTCTTGGTTGATCCACTAGTCCCACACATCAGCTCAAAGCAAATGACCTGAGTAACCTTGTTCTTTGTGTTCTCTCTTCAGTCTGGAGATGGTGCGCTGGGATTTGCAGTTCCCACCCCTACGGTTCCTGTTTTGCCGCCTATGAACGGACCCCAGAGCCACACAGGTGAGGTCACATTGCCCAAACATCCTGTACAGCCCCGAACGTACTGTCATCACTGCATTACAGCGTCTCTTTGCATAGAGATCAGCTGTAATGCCTCACTGATTTGACTAATTATGTTCAACAATAACGGTCAAGTTCGTGTTTGCGAAAGGAGCATTGAGAGTCTGTGGCACATCAGTAGCTATTATACAGCCATCTTCAGAAGGCTGACTCAGTGTTTTCACTGTGTATTAGCCTGACTTAAGCTGGCATTGATTCTTGGCAGTGCCACTTGCATGTGCCATTCATTCTCCTCTTGTAAAGAAAAAGCCTCCCTGGATTCCCCAGCGATTGTAATGAATAATCAATCATCACCCTGAATGTCAGAATTTGTGTTCAGCTTCATAGCAACTCGCCCTGCTGTATACATTTAACACAATTGGTAGCAACACCAGATCCACTTATAATAGTCTTTGATAAACAGTTAGTCACTGGTTTATATCCTGGATCTTTCCTCTGTTTATTCTTTCTCGCAAGCTTGCCATACTTGTATCCTACTCGCACTACCCGATGTTGCTCAGAGGAGTATGGGTTGCCATTTTGAGTCTTGGTTCATCTCATGTTCCTTCCTCATGCTGTTCAGGATCTTTCCTTGAATGTAGCTGAATGTCTGGAAAGCTGCTTTAGGACAATATCTATAGTAGAAACTGCTGTACAAATAAAACTGAACTGAATTCAATCAAATACTGTGATTTTGATCCATTACAGGAAGCACCGAGAAACTCCCTAATGGAAGCATGATCAGTGTTGCTGACCCAGAGGAAGGAGAGATTCTGATTCCTGCTCCTCCTTCTGTAGCACCCCCACCACCACCACCCCAGTTCATCCCTCCATCACCACAACATATCCCTCCTCCACTGGAGTTTTTTGGGGATCTGGACCCACCTGTAGATCTGGCAGCATTGCAGCCACCTTCCATGCCTCCTCCCAAACCACCATCAATAAGTGGCTCCACAATATCAGAGGAGCTAGACCTGGCATCCCTCAAGCCTCCACAGATGGCTCCCCCAAAACCACCCACTGACATCCCCAGCCTGACGAACTCTGACCCCATCTCCAGCCCTATAAACGCTGTTCAGGGCATCCCAGAGTGCCCCAAATTCACCCCTCCACTTCCTCCTGTGGAGAAACCCCAGTCTCCACTTACCAAGGCCCAGAAGATGCCTCCTCCAAAGCCGGTCAGGCTATCCTCCATCTATAATCTCACTGAGGTAACCCCAGCTCCCACCCCTGCATCAACCCCAGCCTCCAGCTTCAACCCCCAGACCACAGCCAAGCTCTACAATGTGCCTAAAACGACAGTGCTCACCAGCCAAGCCGACCGAGAGATGAGGGCTCAGCACATCCTGCTCCTAGAGGACACTTCCGGAAACCCAGTTGGAGTTCACGTCAATGGGAGAGCCCCTTTGTCAACAAAGGAAGTGAGTCCAGCTCAAGATGTGGTTCCCCCAGTCAAGCCAGTGCGTCACAACAGCTCAGGTCTCCAGCTGGATACAGATGTACTGGATGGACAGGAAACACTTCCCAATGAAATCACGAAACCAGACAGGGCCACCAATGAGGAGCTTGCAAAAGGAGCGACATTACAGGAAGTTTCGAATAAGATCCCAACTCCTGTAAAAGGTTCCCCCAATACAGAAAGGGCTCTGGCCATGCCATCAGCACAAGAGGTGAGCCAAGTAAAGGAACTGCCAGGGTCTCCAAGCAAACCACGCTCCTACAGTCCGTTGCTGAACCGCAAGCTGCACACCCTGCGGGGCCACGAAGGATCAAGTGGGAAAGAAACTGCTGCCTCTCCACTCGCCCTGCTGAAGGCTGCTAAGGAGCGAGAGAAGCAACGATCGGCTCTGTCTAGACAGAGCAGCACCAAAAGCAGCAGCTCTGCTGAATCATTGAATGTTGGCATCCATCCAAATGAGATCAGACCCAACTCCTTCACCATCACCCCAGCACCGGCTTCCTCAGAAAGTCTCAACACAGAGCCCAAACAGTCTATTCCAATGGAGTCTCAACCCAAATCTCAGAGCCCAAAGGTTTCCAGACCAGAACTTTCCACAGTCACCCATGCTGCACCCTCAAGTAATCCCGTGAAACATCTCACTGACCCCACATTAGCATCCCCACCTAGTCAGGAAGATGGTAGTGAGGGTGCTGTTCACTTCATCCCTCCCCCACCAGAATTTGCTAATTCTGATCCAGAAGATGAAATCCCACCCAGCATACCTCCACCTGACCCACTTGCAAAAAGTGTTGCTCAATCTGTAAAATCCATTCCTGCCACCAATGGCCCTGCTGCTCCACCAAAACCCAAAACATCCAGCACTGCGGCATCACCTTCAGCTGCTCCCAGCACTGAGCCAAAACTTAAAAAGCTCCAAACCAAACCACAGGCCCTACCAGGACAGCCACCAGTTCAAGTCCCAGCTCCACCACTGACCCAACCCAAAACACAGACCCAAACACAAACTCCCACCCACCAGCCCAACTCAAAACCCAAATTCCAGCTCCACCAGCAACCCAACCTCCAGCTCCACCAGCAACCCAACCCAAAACCCAAATTCCATCTCCACCAGCAACCCAACCTCCGGCTCCACCAGCAACCCAACCCAAAACACAAATTCCATCTCCACCAGCAACCCAACCTCCGGCTCCACCACCAACCCAACCCAAAACACAAATTCCATCTCCACCAGCAACCCAACCTCCAGCTCCACCACCAACACCACCCAAAACCCAAATTCCAGCTCCCCCACCAACCCAACCCAAATCCCAAATTCCAGCTCCACCACCAAAGCAACCTCCAGCTCCACCACAAACCCAACTCAAAACCCAAATTCCAGCCCCTCCACCAACCCGAGCTCCAGTTCCACCACCAAGCCAAACCAAAACCCAACTTCCAGGTCTACCACCAACTCAACCGAAGACCCAACCTCCAGCTCCACCACCAATCCAACTCAAAACCCAACCTCCAGCTCCACCTCCAGCCCACCCCAAAACTCAAACCCAGGCACCACCACCAACTCAACCCAAAACCCAAATCCCAGCTCAACCCCCTCCTTCTGTCTCTGCCAGCCAGGCCACCCTGCTCAGCATCCTCCAGAAGAAGATGCTAGAAATGGACCCCAAATTTGCTCCAGCACGAGAGACAGACTCCAGCGGGGACGACTGGAACTCCCCCCTGTCCGATGACGATGGGGCAACAAGTCCTCCCCCCAAAACCAGCCCCAAACCCAAGACTACAACCGTGCCCATGCAGTCACAAGGCCTAGACATGAAAGAACTGGAGGCCAAAGCTGCTAAAAAAGCTCAGGACCTTGCTACCAAGGCACCAAGGTAAAAGCTCCCTACCCTGGTTCTGGAGTACCCCTGCTCTGCAAGGGTAGTAAACTACTGGCTAAGCCAGGGCTCAGCAACATGTGGCTCTTGTACTGCCCTGTGGCTCCACAGCAGAATTAGATTTGTAAAAACAAAATAATCCTCCTTTACAGTAAAATAAAGCTCTGCTGATCGTTCAACACAGTTTAACAATAAATGGTCTTAAACTCTGGAGTTAATGTAGAACTGCTGATTCACCCTTTAACCCTGAAGATCAGCGCAGACTGCTGGTCACCATAGCAAAACAGACAACAGTCTCGCCTCACTAGTAGCTAACGAAACAGCAAAGAGAGAGATTTAAGACGAACATCGATAATTTAGAGATGAATGGACTTATTAGTGTTTATAATCACTCCAGCTGGTTTCCTGATACGTTTAATCTGCAACAAAAAACCTAAAAAACTAAAATGTCGCAAGGCTGAAGTCAGTTCTTCATTTGAGATTTTCCCGTTCCACCTTAAATAGTGTAGCAGTTACATTCTTTAATTCTTCTTTAAGGTGGAACAGGAAAATTCTAACAAGAAGCTGATGAATGAGAATCGACTTCTGCCTCATAAAAAGTTCCATGTTAAGAGACATTTTACAAGAAACTGTTCTACATTTGTGAAAAGTTTCCTGCTGGAGATGTGAGAAAAGCAGCTATAGCTGAGCTAAAGATTAAAGCAGAGCAAACTAAGTCTGTGAGTCACTTACATTGTACTTTTTAGCCTTTAGCACACACTGAGACATGTTTACAGCCAAGATGGTAAAATGGACATTAAATATTGTGGCTCCCAAGGTGGTTAGATTTTTATCAAAAGGACAAAATGGCTCTTCTTAACACTGGGAGTTGTGCCCCCTGAGCTGAGCTAAGCTAAGGAAGTGCATGAAGCTTAAATACAGGTTTTAAATGTTGGTATTTCACAAGTGTTTATATGAAGTGAAATGTTATTTTTTTCCTTTTTGTTTAGAAATGGCCCTCAGTCCAAGCAGCAGTTTGGCATGACTTTCACCATTAGACCTGGAACCAAACAGCCCATCACTCCTGTGATAAAGACAGACTGATCATGGCTGGAACTCCTCGGCTGCTTCTCGTAGCGCCTGTGTATAAAGTAAATACGTTGGGACCTTCAGTCGGAGAGCACACAGATACAGTCCTGCACAGGCATTAAGGACGTATTTTTCCAGCAGCAGGTTTTTCGTTCCTGTCGCTGTATTGAATTTCTGCTGCATGTGCGCCAAAGTCTAGGCTGGATTTGTCCTCTGTAGGTCTTTGGCTGCTTCCTTATCTGAGTGTAAACAGCACACACCACCAGCCATGCCTTAAAATGGACCCTGTGTGAAGCAGAACTCTGTACCTTCGGCTTCAGAGATAAACCTCTGGAGCCTTATTTTGGCTCTATTTTTAAACTGAACTTTGTTGCTGCTGCTAGAATCTTTTCAGAAAGCCTGAAAATGGACTTTAAATGCAGGCAGAAATATAGGAAATACAGAAAGTATGTCAACTGTAAATATATATGTAAACAGAAAACACAGCGGGTGCAGGGCAGCAGGTCGTTCTTTGATGTTATTGTGGTCCATTTCTGATCACGTCTTGTTATTGTACACAAAGAAAGTGCCATTATCCTCCTCCCAGAGGGAACCCAACAGCGGCTTTGACTCAAGGATCCGAACTGGAGTATTTTTATTTTTTTATTTCCTTTGTAAACATCTTATAATTGTTTACAGAGGTTAAAAATGTTAGTAGACAATCTTCCACTAGATCAAGTCCTGGGCTGGACAAAGCTAGATGACTTCAGAAAGCCCAGGTTCCATGTTCAGGTGTAATAAACATGCTCTGTAATGAACTTCAGAGCTTTACAGACTCTACAGAGGAAGTTCTCAAAGCTCAGACGAGCTCGGTTTGTGCTTTAGCACTTGGCTTGGTTTGTTGGAGATATGAGGCCTCCAACAGCAGCGAGATGCTGCTAGAGACCTCTAATATCAAAGCACTGCTTTGCATGTAAGTCTGCGCTGAAACAGACACGCTTTGTAAATAACACTATACTGGACTGTTATTCTCTGTACCTCTGTTTGATTAGAGAAACACGCAACAGCCGACGTTTAACAGCGTTTAGAACGTTTATTAGAGATGTGGGGGTAATATATTTGTATGCAGTTTGTTTGTTATGCAGTCCTGGCTGTTTATCTGAATATATAAAAAGGGTTATGGAAACACAAATCCAGAAATAAAACATGAGAACATCTGCGTGTTTTGTGTGAGGAGGCTGTTTATGAACTCTGAGAGAAAAGATCAGAGCCGGAGCTACTGAACTGAGAAAGGGTCTGAATAGTGTCGGATTACGCAGCAATAATGAGGCTCAGATTCACCTGCGCACTGAAACGGGTCAAATTCACTCCAGCACAGCTTCCGTTAAACTTCTATGGAACCCTAGACTAAGACTAATCCGGTCTGCAAACCCAGACTGTTGCAAGGTTAGATAGGATTTACAGAGCACTGGTAAAAATGTAGGTATTGTGATATAAACCGAGTCTGTTCTACAGTTTGAATGAATAACCGACTCTAAATGTATGTATTGTGATATAAACTGAGTCTGTTCTACAGTTTCTCATTAGGCTGAATGAATAACTGACTCTAAATGTAGGTATTGTGATATAAACTGAGTCTGTTCTACAGTTTCTCGTTAGGCTGAATGAATAACCGACTCTAAATGTAGGTATTGTGATATAAACCGAGTCTGTTCTACAGTTTCTCATTAGGCTGAATGAATAACTGACTCTAAATGTAGGTATTGTGATATAAACCGAGTCTGTTCTACAGTTTCTCATTAGGCTGAATGAATAACTGACTCTAAATGTAGGTATTGTGATATAAACCAAGTCTGTTCTACAGTTTCTCATTAGGCTGAATGAATAACCGACTCTAAATGTAGGTATTGTGATATAAACTGAGTCAGTTGGTCAGTAAAGTCACACAAACATTAACACCGGTTTAACAGATATGTTTACTTAATTTGTCTCCAAACCAAAAACAGTACATACAGTATGTTAAGATGCCCCGAATGAATCACTGCAGCTTCTTACTGCTCTGACGTTTGTATGAAATGGAAAATGAAAGTCAGACACAGTGATAAGTGCACTATGTGCATGTTAAATGCGGCTGAGCTGAGTGGGGTCAGCTCTGACCATACAAGCACATAATTACAGTATAAAAAAAGAATCCACCAACTTTCATAATTTCTGCATAATTAAGTGGTTAAGATGTAAACAGAGCGGTTCAGAGTGGTTTGGTGTGAAACGCTCCGTTCTAGATAAACTTACCGAGTCAGAACGGTTCACAGTGGTGGTGATAGGAACCAGACGTCCACCTCTAAAAGCTCCCTCACAGAAAGTTCCTACATGAAATGGTTATGAATTCACTGCCTGATGACTGAGACACTGTTTTATGATAGTTTAGAGAACTTAAACTCCATTCATGGTGGAGGGATACATGCAGGGCGCTGTGAGGCAAAATAGTCCCCAAAGAAAACTTATTATTCCAGATTTTCCACTATTTTCCATCATCAACATTCCATATAAACTCAGAAGACTCGTGTAGGTTCACTGGTGGTTCTGGATAGTAAATAAAATGTCTATATTTGTGTTGTAGTCATGGCGACCCCTGGTTCCTATCACCACCACTGTAAAGACATCTGAACCATTTCACACCAAACCACTCTGAATCTCTCTGTTTACACCTCACACACTAAATTAAGGAGGAATTTTGGTGGAATTCCCCTTTAAAGGTGAAAGCTGACCCCAGATCAGGAGAGAGTTCACTGTGAGTGACAGAAACTGATGAACCTCCAGATACAGTAACTCTACAGACACTTTACAGATTTCTATCAAAGAACTTTGTTTCGGTTCCAGTAAGACGATTATCGTCTCCCAGCGTGTCAACGTGTCCACTTTATCCGGTCACTCACTGTCCATTTTATCAGCTCCACGGACCACACAGATGCACTTTGTTCCTCTGCAGCCATTATTTACCCTGTAAATAGTGGTGAACACTGTGTCCACTCACTGTCCACTCTATTAGACACTCCTACCTTGTCTGCTGCTGCACAGTCTGTGTTGGTCATCCTCTAGTCCTTCATCAGTGGTCACAGGACGCTGCCCACAGGACGCTGGCTATTATGGGTGCCCAGCAGTGACACTGAGCTGTAACTGTGGAGTGGACACAGTGTTTGAAGTGTTCTGACCACTGATAAAAGGGATAAACAGAGGCTCACAGATAAATTACAATCCATAACTAAGTGCACCTATATTATTAGTGGAGCTGATGAAGTGGACAGTGAGTGGACGTAGCTGTTTCTAATGCTGTGTTTACATGATGGCGTTAGAAATGTCGTTCCGAGCCTCAGAGCAGAGCTACGGCCGGAATCAAGGCACACAATCGCTGGCATGGGGACAGTATTCCCGGCAAAAAGGGATGATAATCAGAGTAGAGCTCTTAGAGGTGGACGATACGGCAAATACATAATATCACGATACTTCAGAAACTTTAACGATACATGATGTCACAATATTTATTTTTTCAGACGTCTGATCAGCTGGAACAGAGAAAAAAGAGCCTGCATTTTAAAAACACCATCGAAAGCTGTGAACACAGTGACTTTTATTCAGTATTTGTCACTAAATCCAGTTAAACAAACTAACTTTACTCTCTATATAATGAAACATGCAGTTAGCACTGACAACACACACGATATGTTCAGAAATAAACGGTATTGTGACATAATTGATCATGATAATGATATATACTGTCGTATTGTCCAGCCCTGAGAGCTCTAGCAGTGTATGATGTTTATTTTCTGTTGTATAACACTGAGGTCATCTGGACTTTAATAACGAGACGTTTGGCATACCTGACGTCCGAAAAACAGCAACATGCGGTTATTTTACTGCTGCAGTCGGCAGCAAAAGTTGGGAAAACTGAACCGATTCCTGCTGCGTTCTGCGGAACGTTGCTGCTGGAAGTGGTTGATTTTTCCATTGGAAACAAGAGAATATCTGGTTTGCGTCATCCGTCTATCGCCAACATGTAAACACAGCATAACAGTGGACGCTGGGTGGACGCATGTATGGAGAGTGCTCGTTTATGCAGTAGTTTTCTGGCCCGTGCTGTGCTGCAGAACCTGGTGGTCCCACCCAGCTGTGGTCAGAACATCTGAGCCGCCGGGAACCCAACACACCCCTCGCACAAAGTCCTGGTGCCGAACGTCCCGGTAACTGCACAAACAACAAGTTTATTCATGCGGCAGCATTCATACACGGCGGTCACTCAGAGTGCTTTACACATGAGAACATAGAACAAAAACTCAAATTAACATTTAAAAATACACAGAATAGGAATTAAAACATGATTAAAACAACAGATTAACATTTCAACGCTTGTCAGTGAACTAGAATCAGATTAAAGATGAAATGAGGATGACAGAGCGGCGTCAGAGAAGGGCTGGAAGATCAATCGTTTTATAATGAAAACCAATTTAACGGTGAAATTTTAATTAAAGCTTACGTTTTAAACAGCGTCGCCTTAATTAGGAAACATTAGCTTAACATCAGAGCTTGTGAACTCAGATGAGTCCAATCAGAGGCAACCAAACTCCTATATATGCTGTGACATCACAACCACAACTAACTGGCAGTCTGACATGTTCAGTGTTCAACACTAAACCAGAAAAGGTGGATGTTCTGGTCTTCTTGGCCAAAATAACAGGCCTGGACTTCAGTTGATCGCAATTTAAACTGCGGTCATTAATCAGAAAAACTGCAATCAGATATTTTTCCCCAAATCGTTCAGCTCCACGTTAGAGGAGAGAAGAGCAGCAGAGCTTAAACTGAGCCGAAAGCTCTAACAGGAACGTTTTCAGGCTGGTTTAAAGTGTCCAGTGTCGGCTCTTCTAATGCTCTCTGTCCACTGGGTCCATTTAAGAGCAGCACAGTATCTAAACGCTGCTTCTCCATGTTTAGTCTCCACCTTCAGCAGGACTGACTGACCAGTTCCTAATGATCTGAGAGTTCTGCTCGGCTCACATCTCTGCAGCAGGTCAGATAAACACGCTGCTCCTGACCATTCAGACATTTATAGAGCAGTAACAGCTCCTTACAGTCTATTCTGAAACAGACTGGTAACCAGTGTAATTTAAGAATATTACAGAATTTTATAAAACTGGACCCTTCAGTACTGGACTGATGGAAAAAGCACGGTTCCAGTGTTCTGGTGCTAAAAGGTTCTGCTGTTCTGTGCAGTGGAGTTTATAAAGAGCGTCTGGCTGAGGGACAGTGGGGTGAAGGTCACTCTGACATTCTGACTGTATCTACAGTTCAGTACGATTAAAGAGCCAATCAGATAAACGGGGGCGTGTCTATACTCACATTTCTCTGAGCTGTGCGTTCACCACGGCGACGGAGCAGTCGTCACTCACTGAGGCCAACAGAGGAGAACTGAACACACAGAGACACACACACACACACACACACACACACACACACACACACACACACACACACACACACACATTTATAAGGACACACTGCACAAAAACACCACACAGCACTATTAAAGAGCTCATATTCTACTGCATTAATAACTGTGTGATTCTATTGTGTTTCTACACAAAACAGGCATAATTTATTTCTACATGATCATTTTTCTTCATCACTTACAATTAAACAGGCTGTTTCTGATACTGCAGCTTTAAGACTGATATATGTAAATGAGCTCTGTTGTAAATGGCTGCAGTAAAGCACTACTAGAGTTTGTCTGCAAAAACACCATCACCTCAATGAGAATGGGTGGGGCTAAACTGTCATGGGCTGGATGGGTGGGGGCTAGACAGCTGAATGGGCGGGTCTAGACTGCTGTAGGCTGAGTGGGCGGGTCTAGACTGCTGTAGGCTGAGTGGACGGGTCTAGACTGCTGTAGGCTGAGTGGACGGGTCTAGACTGCTGTAGGCTGAGTGGACGGGTCTAGACTGCTGTAGGCTGAGTGGGCGGGTCTAGACTGCTGTAGGCTGAATGTGGGGGCTAAACTGCTGTAGGCTGAGTGGACATGGCTAAACTACTGGGGGCTGAGTGGGCGGGGCTAGACTGCTGGAGGCAGTTTTTGCAGTGTAGTTCCCACATATGGACTGTGTGCAGTGGCGACTGAAAGTAGGATATGTAACTATAACAGTGTTTATTTACATCAAACTACCAAAAAAACACTTTCAATAAGGTAAACAAACACTAACGGCCCCCACAGCCCTGTAGCGACAGTCCTACAGCGCTGCAGGTGTGTGTGTACCTGTGTGAAGAGAAGGCGAGGCCGGTCACTCTGCGTCTGTGTGTGGTCATCGTCTGCACGCTGCCTGCAGCCTGGAAATCCATCACAGTCACCCTGCCCAGCTCATCACCTACACAGCAGGGGATTATGGGTAATGTAGCGGTGTACAGTACTGTAAGTGATGTACACTCACCGAAATGTGCCGTATTGCACTTTACACTTTTGCTTATTTCTGTATTAGGTATACTTGTTTTAGGTATGAAGGGGATTGTGGGTAATGTAGTTCTGTACAGTACTGTATGCCGTGGTGCAGTATATGCTAGAGGACTGTGCATACAAAACTACATTGCCCAATCATGTATGGAGTACTGTAGCAGCTATAGTTGTGTACAGAACTGTAGGCAAAGTTTCTGTATAAAGCAAGGAATTATGGGCAATGTAGTTGTGTACAGTACTGTATATGATGGTGCTGTATAAAGCAGGGAACTATGGGTAAATTAGTTGTGGACAGTATTCCATGAAAAGGTTCTATTTACCAAATGGGATTATGGGTAATGTAGTTGTGTACAGTACTATATGCAAAAGAGCTGTATAGAACAGGGGATTATGGGCAATGTAGTGGTTACAGCACTGTATGTTATAGTGCTGTATAGAATTGGGAATTATGGGTAAAATAGTTGTGTACAGTACTGCAGGAAAAGGTTCTGTTTACCGCAGGAGATTATGGGCAATGTAGTTGTCTACAGTACTGTATATGATTGTGCTGTACAGAACTGAATTATGGGTAAAGTAGTACATAATAATAATAAAAAAAATGTTTCATTATTATTATTATTATTATTATTATTATTTCCTTTACCCATAATACCCAATTCTATACAGGTTTGGTTTAGCACAGAGGATTGTGGGTAATATAGTGGTGTACAGCCCTGTATATGATTGGGCTGTATAGTGTAGGCAATTATGGGTAATGCAGTTGTGTACAGCACCATATGTGATCTTGCTGTATACAGTAGGGATTTGTGGGTAATGTGTACAGTACTGTTATGCTGACGCTGTACAAAGTAGGGGATTGTGGGTAATTTAGATGGGGACAGTACTGTATGCAATGGTGCTGTATCGAGTAGTTAACTGAGGGAGAAGTACAGAGCAGGGATTTGTGGGTAATGTAGTTGTGTTCAGTACCATATGCGATTGTGGTGGTCTTATGAGGGTCCCACGCAACAGCAGTGGGACAGCAGCTGGGGGAGACCACGTCTGAAACAGACACAGAAAGATTACACAGCTATAACAAACACCGAGCTGCAGAACCAGAACAGCGACAGGAGCCACTGTCAGCAGAGGAATCTGAAACATCCACGACGTTTATGCAGTTATTCTGCAGACGAGCCGGACGGCATTGCTTTAATCTGAGGCTCTGCTGTCGGACTGAGAAGTGAGCACACAGGGGCAGTTCAGGGATGCAGGAATGAAGAGGGGACTGCACCCCCTACTGTCAGGACTGCTTAACTGCAACTGGTAAAACTGATCAAAAAACCTTAAACCAGTACCTTGAACACAGTACTGGTTTATATAATATTCATATATCTGCTCACTGACTTCCGAGTCAGTGAGTTTCCTGCTCTTTTCTAAGTTCAGGAAAATGTCTTGAAGTTACTGTTTGTAATAATCGACTGTGCCATACAGAGACAGCAGATCGAGATCAGGATGAAAAACCCCGCCGTGCAACTGTTACAGACCTCCTCGTGTCCCTGAAGTGAACCAGAAGGAACTATTCATCCTCAGTGAGGCTGAAAAGGGGGCGGGGCTTATCCGCCCTGTTTTATTAGCGCTGTAAGAATGATGGACAGTTTAAACTCGTAAATTCTTTGTGAATAAACTTCATGACGCTACGACCTCAGCACACCTCTTTCAGGAGTGGCTGTGTCTGATATTGGCGGGTGGGGGGGGTAAGTGGGGGGGGGGTTCAGGAGTGAACTAGTGGTGTATGAAAGATGGCAAACACATTTTATTTGTTTTTTTGCTTGGATGATCATCAGTGCAGGTTTGAGTTTCGCCTGAGCGCCTGAGAGGATCAGCCTCAGAAACAGCCCCACCAAACGCTCCACTTTAGCTGTAATTTAATAATTAATAATAATATAATCAATAAAATTAACTGTCCTGAATTAAAAAGTTAAAAGGCCCATATGAAGAAAAAAAACAAGAAATTAAAGTTATTATTAAATTTTCTAAACATACTGTTTACTTTTCAGTCCATGCAGTTCATGAATTGAACTAAGCTCAAAAACAGCTGTTTTAAGCTCAGTGTTTTGTGATGTCATCGAAACCAACACATTTACATATATCCACAAAGTCAGCAGTGGTTTAGCTCCACCCAGCAACGCTTAAAGGAGTGTTTCAGCTCAAACTGCTTTCTGAACGAGGCACAGCCAATCAGAACATCGCTCATTTACATTTACAACAGTCTTAAAGGCACAGTAACAAAAACAGCCCGTTTGCCTGTGAGGGATAAAGAGAATACAGTCAGAAATGAATTGTGGTTTTTATGGTTGTAGTTTTTGGCTCATAAAACTACATAAACTAAGTGGAGCTGACAGAAAAAAGAAATGAAGTACAGTAAAAATGTAGGATATCGGTCCTTTAAACGTGCAGCGTTTACCTAATCGAGACGCAGGTTTGGGTTTCCTGCGATCCCACAGCAACAAACGCCCGTCCTGCACCACAGAGACATCAGCGTCACACGAGGAGAAAGAGAAAATAAAAAATTAATAATAAGCTTTATTTAAAACAAAATAAAATCAATCACTGTGAACTGGAATCATCGGTATAAATAAAGGTGATGATGACCTGAGCACAGGAGAGGAAGAGTGAGTCGTCTGTTGGGCTGCAGCAAACACTGTTCACCGGCATGGAGTGAGCTACAGAGAGAGAGAGAGAGAGAGAGAGAGAGAGAGAGAGAATATAAGTCACTCAGAGTCTCAACAGAACATTTAAAATATATTAATTTGAGGTAAACATAAAAACACAAGCAGTCTGAGTACTAAACGATGTGAAAAACAGTAGGAAAATAAACTCATATTACTGTTTTACTGCATTCTTTTAATAATTATTTTTAAGTGCTTAACTTTAAAGAGGAACTCATTCAGAGTGGTTTGGTGTGAAACGCTCTGTTCTAGATAAACTTACCGAGTCAGAACGGTTCACAGTGGTGGTGATAGGAACCAGACGTCCACCTCTAAAAGCTCCCTCACAGAAAGTTCCTACATGAAATGGTTATGAATTCACTGCCTGATGACTGAGACACTGTTTTATGATAGTTTAGAGAACTTAAACTCCATTCATGGTGGAGGGATACATGCAGGGAGCTGCGAGGCAAAATAGTCCCCAAAGAAAACTTATTATTTCAGATTTTCCACTATTTTCCATCATCAACATTCCATATAGACTCAGAAGACTCGTGTAGGTTCACTGGTGGTTCTGGATAGTAAATAAAATGTCTATATTGTGTTGTAGTCATGGCGACCCCTGGTTCCTATCACCACCACTGTAAAGACATCTGAACCATTTCACACCAAACCACTCGAAAATTAGAAAATTGGGTGGCATTCCCCTTTAACCACATCTGCAGTGTTATATGCATTCCTGTTCATTTTAAGTGTTTTTTGGTGATTATATTTAAAACCCATCAGGTCGCGATGATGAACCGCAGCCGGAAGGAGAAAACCGAGGTCTCTTTCTGCTGGATTAGCTCTGTAAAGGTTCTTTACAGGTTCTGTAAAGGTTACTGTGAGAGAGGAACTGCAGTCTCTGTGTTATTCAGCGTGAATAATAAAAACATTCCTCCGTCTGAGTTTATGTTGGTTGCTGTCCAGCCTGTTGCAGCTTTTAGTCTCATTCCATTTTATTGTTTCTTCGCCGTCTGAATGCGGAACTTCATCTCTGGAAGTTTTACAGTCTGAGTAATAAATAACTCTAAACTCAGCTCCAGCAGAGAGTCGGAGAGGAACCAGAGCGGCAGGCTCTTAAAAAGCACCCCCTACTGACCAACACTAGAACTGCTTTAACATGTGAAAACAGAAAAAGAATAAAATGCAGTGCGCCCCCTACTGCTCACAGCTGGAACTGTTTAATCACACAAACATTTAGACATAAACAGAATAAAAGGTCTAATTTCTATATGAGCTGTAAGAGGCGTCGGCCTTAAACCTCCTTGCCGTGAACGACTGTTCGGGTTACTTTAGGGCTTTGAAGCGCCCACATCATGGAAAACTGAGTGTCCCTCGCTTCGTTTTTTTAATAGCAGCATGTAAACATTGTTAAAGCTCTCACTCTTCAGTTCATAAACTCCACATACAGAAACGAATCTGCAATCTGGTTTGGGTTCAGTGTTCTTGTGATGTCACAAAAACCAACATTTTTATATGCATCTGCTAATTCAGCCTACAGCAGCATAACCCCGCCCATTCAACCGTTCACAGTGGACTGCTTTTTGAATGAAACACAATACAGGGCACCCAATCAGAAAAGAGCTCATTTACATATATCCGTCTTAAAGGCACAGTAATAAAAGCAGCCAGTTTTAGGGATAAAGAGATCAGTTTCACTAAAACTACTGCAGCATCACACATTAAAATACAAAACTGTATCAGTGACATTAGCAGGTAACAGGATTTTCATCTGCGTAATCTGAGGCTGGCCACAATTTTCATATCAGTCAGGCTCAGAAAATTCACTGTTCATTTATTAAAGCTAAAAGATCAGTTCCAGTGCGCAGTGCAGCTTTAACACTGAGCAGGGTCAGTACGGTGTGTGCGCGTTAATACAGTGGACTGTGGAGTGTATGAGGATTATTCTCACCGTTATAGGAGCTGATCACCGCCTCCTGACTCAGATCCCACACTTTAATCCTGAAAACACACAGAAAATCACACTCAGATCACCGTTTCACACCGTAACCTGACTTTCAGCTCACACAGGCGCGTAAGAGCGATAATGCTGTGTACAAGAGAAACCATGTAAATCTGACGGAGATTTTATCCATAAATTTGAATATAAATAAAAACGATTTTCCTTTCCACCTTAAATGCTGCCCTGACACGACAGGATGTCCCTGCTGCACCATTTAAGGTGGAACAGAAGATCTGAATAAGAAGCTGGAGAACATGAAGCCAACTTCATTAGTATTAGCTTCCATTACTTGTTAGCTACATTAGCTAAGAGTCGACTTCAATCAGACACGCTCAGAGCGCCCCCTGCTGACCTGCAGTCCATACTGCTGCTGACCGCGTGGCAGGCGCCGGCCGTAGGGCTGATCGCCGTGACGACGTGATCGTGCTCGTGCCGAGTGAACCTGTTCACCAACAAACGCTCGTCCTCCGCCAACTCCCACAATTCAACAGCACCTACACAACGACAATTAACCAAGAAATCAGAGATTTTTAAGAATAAACATATTAAAAAAAAAGAACTTCAAGCGACGGTTTATTAATATGCATATATGCTAAATGAGAGTTAATTGGGAAATAATTAAATTCTACGTGAATCTGACAATTTTATTAGTCTGTTCAACATGAAATGTCAACACAATATAAACAGAAGCTGGTATTTTTAAAAACAGATTTAACTGCAAAAACAATCAAATTTATGGGCCAAAAATTGCATAAAAAAATGTGTTTCTAAGTCTGTTTCATAAAATATGTATCAGGGAGTCGGCAGGTTCAGCAAATTCATGAAAGAGATTTTAAGCAGGTTTTGATGCTCCTTTGAGAAATTTAGAAAATTCTTTCATAAACTTTTTTAAACGCTATTTACCACAGAAATGTCCACATTATACGTTCACTCTAATGCGTCTGTGTTAGCACTAAGCTAACGGTGGTGTCGACGTCCCACACTGGGTTTAATATCACTCAGCTCTGCTGAAACTCTGAGGCACAGAAGCTGTAAAAGGCGTTGATGTGACCTTCTGTACTGCAGTTTCTTCAGTAAAGACAGACTATTTCACATCATCACTGGAGCAGCATTAGCATGTCAGCCACACCGTCCGGCCGACGCCTGCTAATATAAAACCTTTTACTTCATATGTTCACAACCTGCAGCACCGAGCGTTTAATGTCACTTCACAAACATGAAATCTGTAGGTTCAGATCTGCGCGCATCACTGAGATCCTGCTGATGTGGGTTTCCTCCCTTTCAGTGAAGCAAGTTGAGCCCCCTCTTGTGGAGAATCTGCAGAACCTGCTTTGTAATGACCTGTAAATGCCCTGTTTATCATTCACGCTGCAAACTAATCACTATGCTAATTAATCGAGAAAGTAAATTAATTAATTTTTTACAACCAGTAATCACTTTTTAAACGAAACAGTAGAAGCCATATCGCCCCCTACACTTCCTGTAGTGTATTACAGGATGTCAGAGTGACTGTGTGGATCATATGAACATTATAGAGCTTTTTAAATGAAACAGTAGAAGCCATATCGCCCCCTACGCTTCCTGTAATGTATTACAGTCTGTCAGAGTGACCGTGTGGACTGTTTTCAGGTGTGTGCTGGGTACCTGAGTCTGAGGCGAGGACGATGGCTCTGTTGGTCAGCCACTCAGCGTGAGTGACTCCAGCCTCAGTCTGAACTCCCGCCTTACAGTAACTCTCATTAGGAGCCAGCTTAGCATCGCTGAACACCCAGAGGGAACCGAGCCAGCACCGACCCGTCAGACCGGACGCTCCCAACAGCAGACAGCCATCTGAGGGAGGGAGAGGGAGAGGGACAGAGAGAGAGAGAGAGAGAGAGACACAGAGAGAGACACAGAGAGAGAGAGAGAGACCCAGAGAGAGAGAGAGACCCAGAGAGAGAGAGAGACCCAGAGAGAGAGAGAGACCCAGAGAGAGAGACACACACACAGAGAGAGAGAGAGAAAGAGAGAGAGAGAGAAAGAGAAAGAGAGAGAGAGAGACAGAGAGAGAGAGAAAGAGAGAGACACAAAGAGACAGAGACACACAGAGAGAGAGAGAGAGAGACACACAGAGAGAGAGAGAGAGAGACACACACAGAGAGAGAGAGACAGACACACAGAGAGAGAGAGAGACAGAGAGAGACACAAAGAGACAGAGACACACACAGAGAGATTAGTGTCTGTCTCTCAGCGTCTCACCTCCACATCCTGCTTGGAGGATCTTTCAGGCTCAAAAGCTCAACTGAGACGCCGAACTTAAGTGACGAGGCTTAAGACTGGAATCTCCAGTTCCACCTTAAACGGTGCGGCAGTTCCATTCTGGCGCCAGACGCACCATTTAAGGTGGAACAGAAAATACAACCAGAACCTTCAGCTCCTGTACGGATTTTTATCCGCCAAGTTCGTGTTTGATTTTTCCGTTCCGCCTTAAATGGTAGCAGCAGTAACATTCTGGCGCCAAGGCACCGTTTAAGGTGGACCGAGAAATTCCACAAGAACCTTCAGCTCCTGTACGGATTCTTATCCGCCAGCTTCACGTTTGAATCTTCAGTTCCACCTTAAATGCTGCAGCAGTGAAGTTACACGCCGGCGCCTGTAACTGCTGCCCTGTTTAAGGTGGACCGGGGAATTCGAATAAGGAGCTCCGTGCGCGTCCGCGTGTCTCAGGCAGGTGAGTGTGAGACTAGATCGCGCGCTGGTTTACCTGTTCTGTACTGCAGGGTCTCCAGGTGTCTCTCCATGCACGCGGGCGCGCTCGCGGGACACCAGCGGCTCTCGGTCAGCATGCTGCAGCTGACTGTGTTGATCTGTCTGTCTGTCTGTCTGTCTGCTCTCGTGCGTCTCTCTGCTCCTCCGCGTGAATGAATGAAGCAGCGTGCTCCCGCTAACTTCCGGTTCCGGATCGACGTGCGAAAATAAACCGTGTAAAATAAATGTAGAGTTCTCGGATTTCAGGAGTGACTCTATTATATCACCTGTATTATCTAGAATAATGTTAATACGCGCATCTCACGGTGTATAACTGTAACGATACCCTGAAGGTCTTATATTTAAAAAGACGTAAACACCGTGTGGACAGTCTGAACAGCTTCAAAATAAAAGTCCTGACTTCGTTTTAGACAGAGGCGAAACGGTGCAGTGTGATGTTTGAAAATTAGCTATGTAATATTTATCTACTTCTTTTTATGTATCAATTTATTTATTAATTTGTTGATATGACTATTGCATTTAACGTAAATGGTGGTGAATCTGTTCTTTTTTTTGTGTGTAAAAGAAAATATGACACACTATAATAAGACTTTCACCGCTAAGCGGCGCTGTAGTGCAGCTCTAAACTGGCATTCCAGCAACAATTTTAAATTGATTCATGTGGTTGATTAGCAAGACTGTTGGGATTATGCTTGTGAGTCTTGACAACGGGCTAAAAAATGAAACATAAATAATAATAATAATAATAATAATAATAATAATAATAATAATATGCACTCTAAAGTACACCGTAGTGTAGTTACTGCACAGCAGTATAATTACTACTAATAATAATTTATTATTATTATTATTATTATTATTATTATTATTATTAGCAGTAGTGTTTTGGTATCATCACTATTAAAATCAAGGCTTTATACAGAGTAATTAACACACGCATGCACACTATCAGCCAAGTATTCTGGTCTGTAATCCACTCTGCTCTGTTTACAGCAGTACAGCAGTTCAGTTATGTTTGTTTACAGTGTTTAAAGCACTAAGAGAGCGTTTATGTTGTTTGGTATGATTGCTCTAATCTAATATAATCTATAAGCTTTCTAGATATTTTAACACAGTTGTGTCTCAAATCCACCCCAAGTTCACCACGTAGTGAATTACTATCCCGGTGATAAAATGAGTGACCTTATTAAGTCATAAGGGGACTCACTGGAACGCTGAGACACCAAATGTCAGATATAAATGACCTGCTTCAGGTCAATATTCGTCAGAAAGACCGTCCAGTGCTGGAGGTGTTACTGGGTTTACTAGCAAGCTATGCTAAACCATTAGCTTCCACTGAACGTTAGCTTAAATGAGCTAAGCTAGCTAGCAGGCCCCACCATAGAGCATCTAATCAACAAAGTTAAGACATTAGACGAGTTTGTGTCTCAGAAATGACAGAATAAAATAAAACAGTTGCGAGCTAAGCGGTGTTAGCCAGTCTGCTAATTGGTTCCTCAGGCTGTGAAAAGTTTTTACTACAAAATTAGAAATTATGTTGAATATTTTTATTAGAAATAAACAACAACAAAGACAAATTATGTGACCAAAACACATATTATACACTTCACCATTCATAAACACAGTATATCGCTAGCTGGACAGTAAAGCCAGATATTGATACTGATATTAAATATAATTTAAAATGTTTAGATCTGAGTTAGCGATCCAGCTGCCATCATGAAACAAACAATTTTTGAAGTCGTGCCTCATTCTGCCCATATTGGGACCTCTAAGCTGTTTATCTGTTTAAACCTGCTGCTGCCTCACTGTGGACCGGTTTACTGTGGACCAGTTTACTGTGGACCGGTTTACTGTGGACCGTTTCCCTCTGAATATCCTGGACTGTCTGAATGAGGAGGTTGAAATAAGGCTACATGCTAGCTGGCACTGCTGCTAACACACTGAACTGATATCATAACACTGACCTCACCAAAAGCCCCCATGCAGGCCAGCAGCCCCACTGAAATAACCAGCAAAGACTGGCATGCATTTCATTTTATGCTGGTCTCTGCTGGTTAATGCTGGTCACCCCAGCATGTTCATACTGATTGACCATAGTCTGGCATGGTGACCATGTTACCAGCAAACATGGCTGATTAAAAAAAAAGTTGGAGAAGCCGAACTCGTCTGAACTGAACTGGTAACGGTATGGAGCGCTAGCTGGGACTTTCTCCATCACACCATCCCACCAGGCATTCTCCTCTTGGGCTCCCACTTACGGATGGCTGTGGCTTCACTGGTGTTCAAACCCACAGCCCCCCCTGGTGGGGGCGAATGTTTAGACCACTTACAGCTCCTGAAATTAATTTATTACACTGTAAAAATGTTTGTTGTTTGAAAAGTAATGTGGTGCAGTGGTCTAAGAATTCACCCCAACATCAGGAGGTCTTGAGTTTGAAGACCAGAGATCCCACAGCTGTCCACATCTGGAGGCCCCAGCAAGTAGAGAAACTGGGAAAAAACAAAAACAAATTCTATATTTATATGTTTACCTAATGGAAAAACTAGCACTGAGAGTTAGGAGGACTTTAGACTGAGCTGAGGAGATTGAGTTAATATGATGATATTTCATCATTAATGTGAAGAATTACGTCACAATCT